GTGGGTTCTCCCCACCCCACTGACGGCATCTGCTCCCCCTTTCACAACTTCCTCCAGAGCTTCTCCCTCGAGTGCAACACCCCTGACCCGTGCTGGGCCTCACGTTCTGCACCCATCCCCCTCCCTGGGCACCTCCGGAGGGATCCAAACCCAATCCCATCGCCCACGAAGTCCCCCGGGATGTGACTCAGCAGCACATTCCCATGGGAAGGGAACCCACTCATCCCACCCCACCACTGTCCTGGCTGCAGCCTGCACAGCCCCACCACCTCTGTGCCATGTGGGCACCACCACCTTCATCCTCCTCCCTGCACAGATGCCATGGAAATGTTTTTTTTTTTTTCCCTGGAAAAGCTGTCACTTGCACCCTTGATCCCATTCTGCTCCCCACCATGCCCACAAGCTTGGTGTCCATGGGGAGGATGGGTTTGGGTCTCTGAGGAGCTCCAGGTGCTCCATCCAGCCAAGAAACTCACCTGGTTCTCTTCCAGGGAACAGCTGGGATCCCTGAGCTTTGCTGAGCACCTCTTGCTGCCATTCCAAACCCCCAGGATAGGGGATTTGGGGCTCATCCTAAATTTTTGGGGATTTAGGGGTGGAGAAACATTCCAAGGCTCAGATGCCACTCTGCTCTGGCAGAGCACATGAGGAATCTTTTGGATTAGGTTTGCCCCTGCATGTGGAAGTGATGATGAGGAGGGAAGGGCTGAGGAGCAGGATGGAGGGGTAAAGAAGACACCAGCTCTTCCATGAGGGAATTCATCCCAAATGCCAAAACTGGAGGAGAAAAAGGCAATTTCCAGCTTTCTTTGGGCTCACTTGGATCCCAGCACAGCAGGAACCCATTCCCCATGCTGGAGAGGAACATGGAATAGCTGTGGAGGTGTGACCTCCCTGACCTCCCTCCTTGCTCTCTCCCACCCAGACCACACTTATCCCAACATCCAGCCTTCCCCTGGCACCCTGGGAAATGTGGGAAACACCTCCAAACCCTCTGAGGATCCTCAGGGGCTTGGCCACCCCCGAGCAAGATTTAACCTGCTCATTTGCATGCCCTCATCACCTCTAATTAAATCTGTGTGGTGTCACTGTCCTTTCAGCCCTCGTTATCCCTGGAAATCCCCAGGCTGTGCTGCTGGGATGATGGATGGTGGGAAGAAAACAGGATGGGTCCCACACACAGGAGTGGCTGTGGGCACGTTGGTTTTTCCCTCTTCACGCTAAAAATAAGAAGGTTGTTACAGGTTTGTGGCCAGAGCCATGGGGCTGTGGAGGAAAACCAGCTGTTTTTGTGGCCACAGGGCTCCTGGCCTGTCCCTGGCCTGGGACCATAGCTCTAGATCACCCAAGTGATGGGTCCCCAGTGCTCTGCAGCACTTGCAGCTCCCTCACTGAGATCCAAAACATTTCTATATCAACCCCCTCAAAACAAAAAAACTGATGGTGTGAAGCTCACAGGGTTCCAGCCAGGAGCCACCAGCTGTGGGCACCCCTGGCTGAGCCAGACATGGGCACATCACTCCCAGAGTCCCCCAAATGTCACCCACACATCACCTCCATCACCCTTTTGGAAATGGGAGAGTGGAAACAAATCAGCCTCCAAAGATGTCACTGGGAGGTTGGGGAAGCCAGCAGGCTGAAAAAGCCCCACAGATCTTGTCCTGTTCTCTGAGGAGATGGGACAGCAGCACTCTGGGAAAGCCAGGATAAGCCATGTGGGCCAGGATGTCCCACAGCTACAGAGCCCACAGACAGCACCAGGCCCAGGGCAGAGACTTTGGGGGATTCTCTTGGGGTGACTCCAAGGATATTCCAGGGAAGTGAGGGGTCGGGTGGCAGCATTGAAACAGGACCTTCAGGAATGGGAGAGGAGATGCAACACCCAGTGACACCCACCACAAAGGGACCAGCAGGGTGACAGAGGCTGGCAGGGTGATGGGGACCAGTAGAAAGACATGGGACCAGCAGGGTGACAGTGACCATCAGGGGATTGTGCCAGGGTCACCATGCCAGAGTGACCATGGACCAGGGATGGACCAAGCAAGGTGTGAAGGCAGGATGACAGTGAGGTGTCACCAAGCATCCCTCTTTCCCTGTGGCACCCCAAAACAGCGTGTGAGCCCAGCAGCTGTGACAGTGGGACATCATCTTGTCACTGTCACCTCCAAGGAGACCCCGTGGAGGGCAGGACTTGTGCATTTGTGCATCTCTGAGAGTTACAACCCTGGGGCTATGCTTTGTGCCATGCCATGCCATGCCATGCCATGCCATGCCACTGCTCTGACCCACGGAGAACGATCCCACACAATTTCCCAGCCCCTGAGGGGTTAAACGTCCCCAGCCATCCCCAAAATGACGAAGAGACGCTGGTCCCCAGCAATTAGGTGACAGATCCGGGTACACCGCAGCCCGGGCTGTGACGTGAGGACGGATCCAGGCTGGCTGGTGGTTTGTCCCTGGCTGGCACCCAGTCCCCGGAGCCACAGCTGCTTCCCCGCAGCTCATGGCACCTGGCCGGGAGCGATGTGTCACCGGGAATTCCAGACACTGCTGCCTCTGTGCTCCCCCTCCGCCTGGTGACCCCCAAAATGCCCCAACCCCGTGTTGTCTCTGGGGTAGAGCCCGATCAGGTGTCCCCAGTGGGGACAGGATGATGTCCCCACAGCCGTCCCCGTGCTGGGTGTGGAGTGCCCTCCGCAGGAGCAGAACAGGGGGTGCGGATCGAGGCCATTTCCCTCCCTAAAGCAGCTGCGCTTTGGGGTCAATTCACCAAATTTTGCATTTTCATGGTGGGGGTTTCAAAACCCGACATGGGAAAACATTTCTGTGTCTCCAAAAGCCTCCGAGAGCCTTCCTGGCTCTTCCCAAAGGTTTGGTGTTTCCTGGGGAATTCCCGAGGCTCGGGAAGGGCGAGGGGGACACAGCCAGGTTGGCTCTGGCTGGGAATTGAGGAGAAAAACAATAAAAAGGGGTTTGCAGCGTATCTGCAGCCGTTGCCGCTCCCAGCTTAGCCAGTGGGGTGACTGGGAGGAGCTGGGACGGGGCGGGGCGAGCACTCTGTCCTTGCCAGGGGTGGGAACGGACGGGCCACGGTCCTGCCGTGCCCTGGGTGCTGCCGGGGGTTCGCAGCAGTAAATCGGGGCGGGGGGGCTGGGCTTTGGAGGGCACGTAACCCGAAATCTCCCACGGGGACCACGGCCGGCCCCTTGTGCCAGCCTGCCCCGAGAAGTGTCACACAAATGTCCCCAGCGCCAGGGATTCCAGTGGTGGCAGAGGCGCTATAAGGACCTGGGACTCAGCACATCTGGGGCTCCACATCTGAGGCCGTCACATCTGGAGGCGTCACAAATCTGGGGGGGTTGAATACTTCGGGGGGGTCACACATCTGGGGGAGCTACACATCAGCGTCACACACCTGAGGCTCCCCGTCTGGGAATGGTGTCTGCACCTCTGAGGGGGCTGCACATCTGGAGAGGGTCACACATCGGGGGGTGACACATCTGGGAGTGACATATATGGCGGGTCACACATCTGTGGGGGTCACACATCTGTGGAGGTAACACCTCTGTGGGGGGGTGACACATCTGGGGCGTCCTACATCGGGGTGTCACACATCTGAGGGGTCACATATCTGGGGGTCACACATCTAGGGGTCACACACATCTGTGGGGGGCTCACACATCTGGGAGGTTCTACATCGGGGGGGTCACATATCTGGGGGATCACACATCGGGAGGTCACACATCTAGCGAGTCACACATCTGAGGGATCACACATCTGGGGTGACACATCTGGGGTGACGCATCTGGGGGAATCACACATCTGGGGGAATCACACATCTGGGGGAATCACACATCTAGCGAGTCACACATCTGAGGGATCACACATCTGGGGTGACACATCTGGGGGATCACACATCTGGGGGAAATCACACATCTGGGGGAATCACACATCTGGGGGAATCACACATCTGGGGGATCACACATCTGTGGGGGGGGTCACACATCGGGGGACAGGGGCGACACGGGAACGTGCTGCCCCCCCGTGGCTGCAGGTGGGAACTGCACCCTGCCCCTCCCCGAATGGGGAAACTGAGGCACGACCCCAACTCCGGCACCCCTTCCCCGCCCCCTTTGGGGGGAATTCACAGCTCCCCCAAACCTGCTCCCCCCAGTTCTTCCTGTGCGTGTCCGCCGGTGGGCCCCGAACACTCCTCAAGGGGGTCGCCTGCTCCCTGTAACACCTGGGGGTGCAGGACGCCAGGGCCCCTCCGTGATGGGGTCAGTCCACAAACCTGGGGAAAAAAGCAGAGAGAAGATGTGACAGCCGGGATGTGACAGCCCGCGGGACTGGGAGGCACAGATGGGACCCTCGGGGACACAGGGGGCTCAGAGGACACAGGGGACACGGCCCAGCTCATCCATCACCCCCTAAGTTGCACAGGAGAAGCCAAAAGGCTTAAAATGAACCCAAACCTCACAAGTCTGAGGTGGGAGGGGGGGGTTTATCGGGTCACTCCGATCCCACAGACACGACCCTCGCCACCAGTGTCCCCCCAGGCAAGCTGACCCGCGGCTCTGAGGACAATGGCTCCCTGAATCCATCCTTCACCCTAATCCGGGACCCTCACTCTGGGTCCTGCCCCTTCCTGGGCTCAAACCACCCTGGGAGGATTTTCCTGGCAGAGACAGCTTTGGTGTGAGCCCGAGATCACCCCGCGGGCAAGGGCTCAGAGTCCTGCGGGTCACAGGGCTGGGTCCTGCCAGGCGACGTCACCGACACCTAGTCCTGGGGTGGGGGACCTTGGGGTGGGGGGCGCCCCTGGCTGCGTTCCCCGCTGGATGCCCCGGGGCCAGGACGCCCAGCCGCGGGGTGGGGGGCCCGGGGTGTTTGCAAACGTGGTGGCGGTGCCAGGTGGTTGTGTCCCCCCCGTCCCTCCCCCGCTTTAACGAGAGGGCAAAGAGCAGGAGGGTGCGGTGCCAACGACAAGCCCTGTCCCCTGCCCGTGTCACCCTCCGCAGGCACAGCCCGAGCGGCGGAGTCAGCATCGAGGTGAGCGGGGACACCCCGGGGCAGCGACCCCATCTCGGGACATGGGGGTTCGGCTTCGGCCTCTGGGTGACCCCCGAGGGGCTGGGATGGAGCAGGGGCACTGGGGATGGAGGGCCAGGGGGGTCCTGGTGACCACCAGGGCAACGGCACCGTCCGGGGTGGGGGGAGGGGTGGCAGGTCCCTCAGGTGTTTGGAAACACCTTGAGGGTGACGCAGGTAACATGGCCGGGATCTCACAGCAGGATCGAGACGCTCTTGCTGCTCCCCGGCAAGATGGGAGACCCCTTCGGCCGCTGGAGCAGCGCCCCATCACGGTGAGCGCCGGCAGGGTGGGGGGCCCTTGGGGACCCCCGAGGGCTGGGCAGGGCTCTGAAGGTCCCTCTGTCCGTCCAGGGGTGAATATGACGACAGGACCCCGCTCCGACGTTCCAACAGCTTCGCTCGGCTCACCGGGAAAAGCATCTACAGTGAGTGAGGGCTGAACCCCAAAAACCCCTCTAATCTCCCCGAGTGCCGTCCCGACCTTGTCCCTGTCACCTCGCCCTGCCTGTGCCCTCAGACCAGCGCAAGGACTACGGGCAGACCCTGCTCAAGCTCCAGAATGATTTCCAGCACCACGTTGAGGTAGAAGCCCCCTCAAACTGCCCCGCGCCCCCAGCCTTGCCAGGGGACCCCTGTGACACCGGTACCGTGTGCCCCACCCCCCCCAGCACCTGCTCACGATGCACCTGGAGCGGGATCTCCGCAGTGCCGAGGATTGTCTGGGGCGCCTGAAGGACCTGGAGGCGCAGGGACGGATCTGGGGGCAGGATGTCATCCTGGCAGTCAAGGACCAGGAGCTGGTGCTGAGCGATGTGGAGAGCAAGGTACCCCCCGGCCAGGGCACCCCCAGAGTCTGGTACCCTCTGGCCATGGAACCCCTCGGCTAAGTGACCCCACAAAGCCTGGTACCCCCTGAATCCTGGTATCCCCCGAGCAAGGCACCCCCAAAGCCCAGCACTCCTCAGCCAGGGCATCCCTTCAATCTCGGTACCTCCCGGCCAGGGCATTCCCTGAATCCTGGGACCCTCTGGCTATGGGACCTCCCAAATCCAGGACCCCTCCTGTCCAGGTATCCCCAAACCCCGGTACACCCCACTGCCCCCCAACCCTGGCAGCTCCCATAGCACCCCCCAACCTGGGCAACCTCCCAGTCTGGCAACCACAGCCCTGCCCCACCCCCAGACTCAGCCCCCCAAACTCTGCTATCCCCCTCCTATGCCACCCCACCCCCCCATTAAACCTCCCACCCCACAAGCCCGATCCCCACAATCCCACTTGCACCCCTTTAACCCTTTCCCAGCCAGCCGGGTGGGGGGACTGCGCACCCTGTTTTCTCCCTTCCAGGAGGAGCTGGAGTCTTTCCCGCTGGGAAGTGTGCAGGGATGCTCCGCCGGGCTGGACAACGCGGTGCTGGCCGTCAGCGTCCAGGAGAGGAACCCGCCCAGGACCAGCGTGCTGCTCTTCCAGTGCGAGCGGCTGGGGGTGAGCCCTGAGCGGGGAGGAATGGGGGGAAGCTCCTCGGAACGGGGGGCTGATGGCAGGGGGTCCTTCCATGCCAGGCAGAGACGCTGAGGAGCAGCCTGGAGAAGGTGTTGAGGCAGAGGAAGGAGGAGCAGAGCAATCACTACGGGCACAGGTATGGAGGGTAAGTGACTCTGCCACCCCTCCCTGGAGACAGCTCGACTGAGCCCCCAAGCTCCCCAGAGCTGTGGTGAGTCTGGCCATGGGGTCTCCTTGTGGTCCCATTGAGGTCCCACACTGCCCCAATGTCCCCCAACAAGCCCCCGCCTGTGGGCACACACCCCTTCCTTTTCCTACCCCACCCCCCGAATACAACCCCATCCACGGGCTCAGTTCCCCCCTTCCCATTCCCTCATCCCCATGGG